GGGATGTATGCACGTCCATGCATTCTGCTGTATCTCTTCTTAGCAACTGCCATGGGAAGATCAGTAACAAGCAAATTAAATGTGGCCACATCTCTACCATATGTTCTTGTGATTAATGTGTAACTTAAGCCTGGTTTTGTGTCGTGGAAGATAACTGAAGTAGTAGCACATTCCACACTGTATCCTTGAAAGAGTTCATGTTGAGTATTAGCAAAGTAATTGCAAATCTTCCCTTATCAGTAGCCATAGCTAATTTTTCTGTCTGCATAAAGGAAATACCCAAGGGGAAGGGAGGATTTTGCTTGTTTTTAAGTGTCATCTTGAAGTTGAAACATGAGTCTGTTTTTCTCCATTGCTAGCCATCCAGATGGAGTCTTCGCCTTCACTGTTTTTCACAAAATGGTCATGGTGGTGGGGCAAGTGCTGAAAATAGCAGGGATAACATGCGGATTGTGCTGAATGTCAACAGCTAACAAACCAGGGAATATATCAAAAGCATGACGAGGCTTTTAAGAGAGGGACGCAGCAGAGTAGGGAGACCTCCATGGCATCAACCCATGCCCCGATCTGCTATGGGACTAATTCACTGAACGTATGAAAAGAGATTTAAATAGATGCAAAATAACAGAATTGTCTTATACGCGGGTCCATCTTTGTGTAACGGGAGGAAGGGGGAGCAGGTGGCATCACACTTGGAAACTTGATTTTAAAGTGCGTTTTCCTAGCAGTTGGCAGACGTGTCTTACCCCTCTGTATTACTTAGTATCCTTATTACAAAAGGTCTTTGAAGATTCATCTCTATATTAACCAGAGGGAGACGTGGAGGAGGGAGAGATCGATGAATAGTTTTGTAGAATATTTTGTGTTAATCAACGGTAAATATTACCGGTTACAACAATGTTACAGCACAGAATACTGAATGCTGAAGGGTCCATCCCAGGCTTACACAGAAATTAAGTTTTTTACTTTCAGTCCTTTTTCACTAAATAGAACAATTTAGATGTCTAAGCATCTTCTTACTCTGCCTTACAGCCATTTCTGTTTACTAGGATGGGTAT